GCTTCTCCGCTGACTCCGGACCTTTCTGGCTCTCAAGGGCAGGGCCAAGAGTGATCCGCTGTGTGGCATGTTTTCCCAGAGGTTTCTCCATGTCGGGATGGTTGTGGCACATCTCTGGGCGGGCCTGTTGTGTTGGTGCTTCTCTGTGGCCTGGTGGTTCTCCACCGCACAGCCAACAATAGATTTTTATCAAAAATACATGGAAGGAAGTCAAGCTGCTTGGGATGATGTTGTCCGGGTCATAGAAGGGTGGGAGCAAGGATACAGAAACATAGAGAGGAAGGATAGTTCCCCTCATGGACTGGTAATCTGGAGGGCAGAGGGAAGTGGGAGCCATTGAAGAGTTTGGAGCAGGGGAGATGCAAATCAGAGGTGAAATTCAGGAATCTGCAACTTGAAGCCTCATTATTTTTTTTCCGAGTCAAAACATAGGTTTTAGTTTAAACATGAAAAGGAAAAGCTTCTTAATTGGAAATCCAGACATGGTTAGAGACAGAGGAGGAAGCAGGGTAGGATGAAAAATGTCCTTGTCCAAAGCCTTCAGTAGTTCTGGGCAGTGGGAACCCCACAAGTCCCCAGCACAGCCTCCAGATGCTCATGCAGCAGTTCCAGGACCAACCAGGCCTCTCCCAGGGCTGCGCCAAGTGAGCCTGTGAATGGCTGTGACATCCACCACTGGATCCCCTCTGGTTTGCCACCCGCTGCCTTCCACGAGGCCCTCTGTTTGTCCCAAGGTGACACTGCAGAGGTGGCTCTCAGGAGTTCTCAAAGTGATGTTGTTACAGGAGGTGCGGTGGGAGGGACACCTTCTCTTGCTTTATGAGTGACACCTGCCCCCTGGGCCTCCACCTCCTCTCCGGGCTGAGACCAGTCTGCCATGTACCTGCGCTAGGGTGAAGCATGCTTGGGCACCTTCCTCCCTGCTCTCGCTGCTGAGCCCCTTCCCCAGGTTAGCACATGTTAGTCAGGGTCCAAGAGTGGGCCCCAGTCCTGGCCAAACCCCCACCCAGGGCCAAGCTTAGATGAAGCTCTATGCAATACACCCATTTTACCAACAGTCAAGCCATGAGCAAAATATCACCTAGCATAAGACCTTTGAGTTACCAAACAACATGGTGTGACTCTGGTAACGGTTTCCTGGGCTGCGTTATGTCATGGTGGGAGCGCACCTCTCTGTGTCAGTAGAGTGCCTCTTCTGCTTATAATGTCCCTAAGAGTCACTTGTAGGAGCTCTACTCCAGTGTCCACTCTAATGTAATCATTTCCTAAGGTCCCTCCTGCCACTTCCATATTCATGTTAGGTTTCCATCCACCTAGTTTTATTAACATAAGGCATTGGGGATTAAACTCCTGCATGAGTTTGGGGGACAAACCACTCTCCAATAAGCAAATCAAGATTCAAGAAAACAAAATCTACTTCACCCAGATACCTGTAATATTCATTAAAAAACCAAAACTTCTGCCTTCTTTGGTCAGAAAGCTCCCCAAAGGAAAACAAGAAAGACTAAACTCTTCAAAGTGATACAGGTATTATGGATACAGGTTAATCCAGCCTTCTGACTTGACACTTTAGGTGATTCATTAACATTTGCATTGAACATTTATGAGGAGGAAAAGGTAACTTAAAAAATGTTATATTCCTCTCAGGACAAAAGCACAAATCAGTGTGCCAATTTGGAGTTGCTTTTGATGGGCTGCATTGGGAAACCTGCTTTGGGGTTTTCAAATTGTTTTTACATTTCTGTTCCTTTCTTCAGACAGAAAGGAAACAGATTAAGGAGGAGGAAGGTGGTCCTGAAGACTGTGTATCTGAGGACGTCTTTTTTTTTTTAATTTTGATTTTTATCAGCACATGTTTACAGTACATAATGATTACTTTCGTTGTGGGGAGCTGGTTCATGTGCATGACACATCTCAATTCTTTGTTTTTTTCCATCCTCTTCTTCTTCCCTCCCCCTACTCCCTGTTTCGGTCCCATCTCTTTTGCAAATGATCTATCTCCTTATTTCTCATTATCTACCTTGTATTTTGCTCTTTTATTTAGAGATACCTTAAAAGAAAGATAACCCAAACAGTTGAGCATCAAATATCTGTGAACTGCTTAACAAAAGTGGCAGTGCTCAGCCTGATGTCATCACTTCTGGAACTAGGATGGGAATGGAGCAAACAATCTGCATTCATTTCCTGGTCAGATGGAGAGAGGGGAAGAAAGGAAATTGGTTTCCATTCACTTTCATTTTTTAACTGACTAATAGTTGCCAAACTCCTGGAAGGATCTGGCTTGGTTCTTTCTTTTAACTTACCAAGTTCCTCAAGAAACTGATTGCCTTGGGGTGATTAACGACAAACCCAAATCCACTGGCTTAAAGTCGCTGTAGCAATGGTTCTTGCTGTTATCGGGGTGCACCACTGTGGAAGCCAACACATGGCTTTGTCAAGCTGAGCAGTGCCTATCCACAAGCATCTATGCTTCATGTTCTTGTCTGATTCATTTCAAAATCAAAACTCAAACAGAAATCACTCTCCTAAGTAAACAAGAGTCTGATTTCTCATTCAATTTTGAAGGTGTTTTTCCAAAACAAATAATAAATGCAAACAGAACTAGCTATTATGTTAAATTCAAGCTTTAGCCATAGTTTGTAGGACAACAATCCTCAAATCCTATCTTGAGGGAAGCAAAACATTTTTATTTCTTCTTGCTTTTTTCTAACTTGAGTCAGCATCTGAAGGATTCTTATTACACCCATTTGGAGAACCACAAAAATCATCACACACCAGGGTTCTGAGATGGTCTGAGTGCTTTCGGGAACCTCCTGCTTTGACCACAGAGCTCTATTTTCTGGGATATTGAGCCCAAAACAACCAATATAAGGAGTTGAAAAATTGCTCTGCAACAAGCTGGTCCCAGCATATGAAAACTGACCCCTAGGTGCTATGAGAACGAAGGAGGCAGATAGATGCACGGTTGCACAGGATGCGATGTACTGGGGGAGACTTACGGAAGTCTGATCTTGGATGGCAGCAACACCAAGCACATCCCTGCAACATGGTCATAAGGAGGGGAGGATCTACTGGTTAGGACAGTAGTGACTTCACCAGCCATAACGTACCTGGTTGATCTTAAACTTATATCAAAAAGTCAGGCACACTCCTGGTGCCAGGCTCCATATACTACTTGGATGGTTTGATCCCTTTATAGGATACAGAAAACTATGCAGGGTTACTTTCAGATGGTCCTGGTGGTGACCACTCAAGATGACTTCAGTCATGGCAGGAAGAATCCACACACAGGAAGAATACTTTATCTTTGCAGCATACACAATCACTTGATTTATGCTGAATTGTACTTATGTTTCCTTGTAATCCTTGTGTAGTTTCATGTTTGTTTACATTTAGAGCTCCGATCCTTAGTTCATTCCTGTGTATGGTGTGAGGAGTGCCTCTAATTTCACCTTTTTGCCCCCAAATAGCTATCCAGTTGTCCCAGTATCAATATCACTTATTTTAAGTCTTTCTGTACTAAATATTAAACTTGCACATGTGCTCGGGTCTGTTTCCAGACTTTCTAACCTACTTTTCCAGTCTGCTTGTTTGTGCATCAGTACCACAGTTTCAGTTATGAAATCTGTATCATGTGCTTTGTTATATGTCACAGCAGTGCCCTGTTCTCTCCTTCTTCCCTACTCTTTTCAGTGATTTCCTGAGACACCGTGTGCTTATTCTTCTGTGCTTATTTTTCTGTATGGATTTTGGTATCACCTTGTCTATCTGTAGTCAAACAGTTATTGACAATTTTACTGGAATCTCAATAAATTAATAAATTAGCTTGGAAAAGCCAATGTGTACATAGTGATGAAGAACCTTATTCCAGAAGGAACATCTTTCCACTGGTTCAAGTCTAATTTTTAAAGAGTATTATATGATTTTATCAATAGATATGTTGCACAGTTCTTGTTACATTTACTCCATCTATAATGTATTCAATGGGGGTGGGGTTAGGGAAAAGGAAATTTATAAACTCCATGTTGTCTGCCTTATAAAAATGAGCAATGCAAGACCATGACACCCCCCCCCGCCAGTCAAAGCAATCCCAATCACAGCCAGACAGAAATGGAGATGCTGTTTGCCATGAGGGGTACGTCCTGCTGGCTTAGGGATAGGACAACGGCGTGAAGAAGGCAGCCAAGTCTCTCCTCCGGGGTTTACTGCAGCTGTTTTGCCTTTGTATTGACAAGAAAACCAACGGATGTTAGACTCTACTTACCTGCAAAGTTCTCTGCCCAGCTTCCTGGGTGAGCCTGCACCTGTCCCACGATGGGCTTCACATCAAGTGCCAGCCCCTCTGGTGGCAGTCCAGCCAACCCTCCCAGCCATCCTTAGAAGGAACGACACAGAGCTTTCTCTGCTGAATTCTTGGTGACCTGCCTGGGGTTCTGTCTCAGGCCAGCCACACCCTGAAACCTTATTCCCCCCATTGCACTGACTCCTGAACCCCCCACAGGTCCAAGATGCCATGCTTCATCTGCACCAGTCAGGGAAGAGGGTAGGTTTATTGGTTGGAGGAGTCACCCCTCCTGTGGGGGTACTGGGTGTTGGGGACTGAATGTCTATGTCCCCCCAAATTCCTCAAAAGCCGGTCTCCAAGGGGATGGCCCTAGGAGGTGAGGCCTCTGGGATGTGTTTGGGTCATGAGGGTGGGACTCTCAGGGGATTAGTACCCTTATACAAGAGATCCCACTGAGCTTTCTCTCCTCCTTCCACTGAGTGAATTGGTGAGGAGGTACCATCTATAAGCCAGGAAGGGAGCCCTGTTCAGAACTGCTCCCTGATCTCCGACTTCTGGCATCTAGAGCTATGCAAAATGAATTGCTGTGGTTTAGAAGCCACCCAGCCTGTGGTGCTTTGTTATGGCAATGCAGATGAATGAAGACACCAAGTCTGGGGTGTACGACTGTGTCACCTCTGTGTCCTGATGCCTTTCCTTTCAACCACACTTGTCCTGAGATTTGCAACAACTGTTTTTTATTACAAGACGCAGAAAGGTAGGGACAGCTCTGGTCCGGTCGAAGAAATCCTGGAGAAGACAGGAGGAGGGCTCTGCCTCAAAGTCAGGTGGTGCAGCGGCTCCTGGGGGGGGCTATGCTCTCAGCTCGGGTTCACGACCTTGCCCATGAGCAGGGGGCTCCATGTGAAGTCATCAAAGATCAGGATAAGGAAGGGATGGTTGAAATTGAAGGTGACTGGCTCGGACTCCTGCTTTACGGTGACCCCAGGGTCTGCCACTTTCTTCACATTGTTCTCGTCCATCTGGAGCACGGCCTTGTGGACAACCTGTGGGCAGTGCATGGAGGGCAGGAGGTGAGTCCCTGCCACAGGCCAGGCGCTGTGCACGCCTCGTACCATGGCCTCCTTGCGCCTCCACTTTGTGGAACTGAGGCTGAGTCTTGGTCACTTGCTGGCTCCTTGCCTGAGCAGCAGCCCTAGGACAAGAGTCCAGGCTCCTTACCTCCAGCCCCTGTCCAAACTGTGCTTCCTCCTTGCACAAGTTACAGAACTTGTTGAACACAGCTTCAATGGCCCCCTGAGTGCCCCTCACCGTGTCCTGCCCCGGGTGAGGGAGACCTTGCTCTCTGCCTGCTCTGCTGGAGGAATACCACGTTCAATCGGAGCAAAGTACTTGTGCCTACCCTGGACAGGGAAGCCCAGGCAGAAGGTACAAATGAAAATCTTTGTTGATATGTAGATATCTAGCTCTAAAATGAGCTAGATGTCTGACTACCCTGCAGGGAAAGCCTGTGACAGATCACCATCCGGGTAATTAACAGGTGACATTTGCCGTGCTCCTAATACCCCGGGGGGATGGCAACTCCCACCAGCTCTACTTGATAGCCAGGGCTCCCAGGTTCTGTGTGGCTGTGACAGGCACCGTGGCTGGAACAGGCGGGGCTGAGACCAGAAGCCCTGTACTAGGCCTTGAGAAAATGAATTGACCCCTCAGAACTCAAGAGCTCTGTGACGGTGCACAAGCTCTTTACCCTCCCGAGCCAGGAGTTCCTCCTCTGAGAGACTGGGATGCCACACACCTTAAAAGAAGCAGCTGACTTTACTGCGTCCACTTCCTCAGTACAACATGCACTGAGGAAGCACCATGGCTGAGAAAACTTTGTGTTGGAGGGCAGGGGCCACATCTGAGTGGTAGAGGCACACCCATAGCCTAGCACAGCATGGGGCACACAGTAGGGGTTCAATAAAAATTTTCTGAGCAAGTGAGTGAGCAGTGGAACACCAAGCTGAAGGACAATGAGTGTAGCTGTGAACAAGCACGGGGCAATCCCCATCAGACATTCGCCACATGCTGGGTTTCCGAGACGCTTCTTACCTTTGACAACTCCAGCGGGGCCTCCTGGGTGATGGCTGAGAAATTGGCCCGGTTGGAAAACAAGTCTGCAAAGCCCATGTCTGCCAGCACAGCCCTGAGGTCGTAGGCACCGGAGATGGAGAGCTTCGGCAGGTACAGGTCCACCGGGCTGCTCGGAGCAAGCAGGCGAGGTTAGAGGTTCGGCTGGGCCTGCGGGGAGGGAGCCGCATTCCTCCCCAGCCAGACTCTACTTCTTCTTGCTCCTGCCTCCCAGTCTGAGCTGCTCCTGGGGACAGGAGAAAACCAGGGCAAGGGCAGGACCTGCTGCCCTGCATCACGAGGTGGCTCTTCTTTGGGCCTCTAAGCTGCACTCTTTTCTGCTGGGTGGTTCCTTTGAGCTGATTCCACCTGTGATACAGCTTGACCACTGGCCACTGAAGACAGTGGGCCCTAAAGTCCTGAGCCAGACACAATGGCACCCCTGTAATCCCAGCCCTCTGAGAGGCTGAGGCAGGAGGAGCCCAGGTTTGAGGCCAGTTTGGGCAAGTTAGTAATGTAGCCAGACCTTGTCTCAAATTTTTAAAAACGGGTGGTAGTGGTGGTAGATGTATGAGGTTCAGTGAGAAGGTCCCAGGTTCAACCCCCAGGACCACAAAGAAAAACGTAAGTCTTTCTGGTTCCCAGAAAGCTGAACTAGAAACAGAAGATAGGAGGAACCGCTGGGGTTCGCGGCCCCAGCCAGGCCTCTGAGGCTGTGCGGCTTTCGCTGAGTGATTCCTGCTCCGTGCTCGTGGGTGAGCACAGGCCCGGCGCCCCGGTGCCAGAGCCATGCAATTGTGCAAGAATTTGTTTCTGCTGGTGTGAAGGAAGGGGCGTAGGACCCTGCCGAAGGGGGCGAGGAGGAAGACGGCGAGTGCCTCTGTTTTTACCGTCCGGAGGCACTCGTTTCTCATCTAAACTTCTTCCCTTCCCTGTTTTCCAGACGGATGAAGATTCCCGCAAGCCCAAGGCCGAGGCTGTAGCACAGCCGCGCCTCTCCCACACGAGGGCGCACACATGAAACCTTTGGAACGAACGCCTAGATTGAGAGGCCGAGATCTGGGGACTGGGGATCCCCAAGGGCGGCAAGACCCACTCTAAGCCTCCTGTGCCCTGAGCCGCTCTCAGAGGGCGAGGCACGGTGCTGCAGGGTGTGGGTTGCTGACTGTCGTCGTCCACACTGGAGTATTTTCACCAAGAGTGTTTTTAGGGGTTTGGGGCAGGGATTATCTGTCGCTTTACTTTCTGTAAGGTTTCGAGTTTGTTTGAATCATGGTTCATTATCGCCACCTGGTGGCATTATACCTAAATCACAGGTTCCCTTCGGAGGGTGTGTTGGGGGTGGGGGTGGCTGGGAACAACGAAGATTCAGGAAGCCCAGAGGGATGGTGCAAATCTGTAATCCCAGCACTCTGGGAGGCTGAGGCAGGGAGATCTCAAATTTGCTCCCAGCCTGGGCAGTTTAGCTACTTAGTGAGACTGTTTCCAATAAACAAACAAACAAACATGCTTAACATCGCCCAGACACAGGCTCATGCCTTCCCCGCGTGGGCGCTTGTGCACACACACGCTTTTCGCCTTTTCTTCTTATGGCTTTGGGAGTGCAGCGCTGCCCACACCACGCCCACCTGCAGGAGTGGGGCGAGGACTCCTAGGCGCCTGCATCCGCACGCAGAACCAGCACCCAGCACCTGGCGCTGAACACCTCTCTGGGGCGGTGTCATTCAAAATGAAAACAACTCGAACTATTAAACTCAAAACCCATCCATGCGATGAAGTAGAAAAGGTCTTTTCTAGATTTTCTGCTGTAGAGATTTTTTTGTTGTTGTTAAATTTTAAAAACTTATTCATAAAGGGCTGGGGATTTAGCTCAGTGGCATAAGCGCCTGCCTGACAAGTGCAAGGTCGTGAGTTCTATCCCCGGTACCGCAAAAAAAAACAGCAACAAAAAAACTTATTCATAAACATAAAATTGCTCCTGTGATAGTTTAACACACGTTCGCATTGTGTAATGTTTATTTATTTATTTTGGTACCGGGAATTGAACTCAGGACCTTGCGCTTGCCAGGCAGGCGCTTGTGCCACCGAGCTATACCCCAACCCCTGTGTACTATTTAAATCAGGATAAAAATCTGATTTAAACATCTGTTTTCTCCAAAATGTAGCATTTCTTTATGGTAAGAATGCTCAAAATCCTTTCACCTAGCAGTTTGGAATTACAGCGCAGGGCTGTTATTAATATATACCGTCACTACACAAGGGCACCCTGGAGATTTTTGCTCAGGACCCCTTCCCACTGTCTGGGCTTCTGCGGCGGCCAAGGCCGGGCATAGTGACAAGGATCTGCTCTACAGGCGTCTGCCGCTGGGCGGCGCACGTTCGATTGCGATGCTCACTTATGCCAATCTACTTCCATTAATTCCACCGGGATCTGTTTCCTGCTCTGCAGCGCACGGGCTTCTATTTCCCCATTCACTCTTCCGTCCCTGTGCCCCGCCCAGTGCGCAGCGCACAGCAGGGGCTCCTGCGTGTGAACACCGAGTGAATGAGCGAGCGAAGAAAGGAAATGTCCCTGCCCCACCTGGGCTCCTGAGCCACTCCACAGCCGCCCGTCCCCGCCCGCCACATCTCTCTGCCCCGAGTCTGCACTACCCGACCAGCCAGCAGCTTCCGCGTTGGCTGGCGTTTTTTGATTCCCACGCACGGAAGCAACATCCCCCTGGGTGCAGGCACCGATTGCTCTTTACGTTCGATTGCTCTTTACTTTGGAGCTGCCTGGGGGGAATGAGTTGCTGCTTCCCGTCTTTCACTCCTGGATCACTAACTAGAATCGTCAGCTGACCTTCCTCGAATGGCACCTCTGCACAGGCTGGAAGCTGCAGACATAGAGAGTCCCTTGGGTGGTTCTCCTGACCCCCAGCCATGAGCATGTCCTCCTTTCTGGACCCATCTGTTACTTCCTCATACCCTCACTTTCTAACTTATATTCTCATTGATCGATTGATTGAAGAAGAGTTAGGTCCCTTGAGCGACTTAAGATGCAGCAGTCGTTTGCACTGTGCTCTGCAGAGTCTCCCAGGAAGCTGTAGCGAGTCTGGGTTGCAGTAAGTAAGAAAACAAAAGGGGAAAGTAGGGAACTGCCTGGTTGGTGAGGTCACCTTAGGAAACTGAAGCACAAATGTGACAATATAGGAGGGGGCTGTGAAACTCACAGGAAGAGGGACTCTCACTGCCGGGCGATCAACAAAGAGATAAGTCTGACCTCCAGGTCAGAGAACTTCAGAGGCTCTGGGGACCCAGCAGAGGGGAAACAGTGAGCCCTGACTGACAGTGAGCTGTGGAAGGAGGCACAGGTGCACCACAGAGACCTGCACTGCAGAAACCAACACGCAGGGCTGGTGGGAGGGCTCACCCTTGGGTCAGGGAATCCGACCACCTCTGGATCGTGTCCCGGCTCAGCCCAGCGATGACTGCGTCCATCTGCCCCTGGACAGGAAGGATGAGGAAGATGGTCCCATTCCCGGTGAAGTTCAGCTGCACCAGGCGGCAGGGGAGCACCGAGTCCAGCAGGTACTTGGCAGAGCCTGACTGGAACATCGTGGGCACCGTCACCGTGGTTGTCTCGTTCACATGGAAGTTCTTCTCCCTGGTGCTTTCTGGGTCGAAGGGATGTTCCCAGGTGCCTGGAAAACGGGAGCACAGGGCAAGCGGGAGTCAGGCCCGTAAGGCAAGACATGCCCTCTGGGTGTCCTCACGGGAGGCAGCAGAGCACCAGCGTGTCCCCATGAGTACACTACACAGCAGTCTGCCGAGACTTCCAGTAAGATGCTACAGTTCCCAGATACTTAAGGTCTGTTCCATCTTCTGCCTCTTGGAATGGAGGGAGGATTAGCTCCATTTCTTTTTTTTTGTACCAGGAATCAAACTCAAGACCTTGCGCTTGCCAGGCAGCCGCTGTGCCACTGAGCTATATCCCCGGCTAGCTCTATCTCTAAGACTATCTTCTAAACAAAGCAGAGGGTAGGAAGACCACAAAAATGCTGGGCCTTGGGTTTGGGGGTAGGGTTCATTGAAACTGGACTTTGTCTTGGCACCCCAGTTTAGAGTTCTAGAAGTGAACATATAAAGAATTAAAAAATATCAGCCCCCCC